GGGAGGAGCTGGGCGGGGTGGGCGGGGCCCGGCGCGCCGCTCACGGCCTGGTCCCCAGGCGTCTTCCTGGTGTGCTGGACGCCCTTCTTCGTGGTGCACATCACGCGGGCGCTGTGTCCCTCCTGCTCCGTGCCTCCGCGGCTGGTCAGCGCAGTCACCTGGCTGGGCTACGTCAACAGCGCCCTCAACCCGCTGATTTACACCGTCTTCAATGCCGAGTTCCGCAATGTCTTCCGAAAGGCCCTGCGCCTCTGCTGCTGAGCCGCCGAGCCGCCGGCGCCCCCGGGTCGGGGCCCCGGGTTGGGGCCTCGCTTCTGCGCGGGCCACCCCGGCCGCCAGCTCGGCGGATCCCTTTCTCCCTCCGGGGACGCTGTCCCGCTGGCCCCAGGGCAGTGCTGGCCCCCGGCCGGCTCCTTCCCGAAGGCCCAGGCAAAGTGGGCTCGGGCTCCGCCGAGGGCAGAGTCAGGAGAGGCCCAGGCCTAGGACAGGAGGGAGGCCGGAGGGCCCCGACCCCGCTGCCCCGGGAGCCCTGCTCTGCCCGGGCGGGGACGGCTCCCCGGCTCCGAGCCCGGCAGACAGCGGCCTGCTGGGAGCTTTGCTGTGGAGGCTGCCACAGCCGCGGGCAGGCTGGGAAATGCCGGGCTCTGGGGTCTGCGGCTGTAGGCAGTCTCAGTACCCAGGTCCGCAGGGACGCCGCCCTCCCTCCAGCCTGGTGAGGCGCAGCCACCTCCTCCACGAAGCCTCCGGAATTCCCCTCAGGGAGCTGAGCGGGTCTGGGACGCACGTGTCTTTCCCAGGGTGGATGTGTCCCCGGCCAGCACAGGGGCTGCTGGTGGGAGCTAGGGCTCTCTTGAGCTTTGTCCCTGGGGACCTGAGGGCACCAACGGGGCCCAGCCTTGATGATGCCTGTTGAACAGCTCTGCAGACAAAAATAAAGGCAAAGACTCCTGTGAGTGAGCGGCTCCTCAAAGTGTGACACAGCTCAGGGGGCTTTGAGCCCCACTGGGTGGAGACACCCAACACCCACAAGACCCCCAAGCTTCTCCTTCAAAGACGAAGGGAGGGTAATGCCAGGGGCCTGATGCTGGTGTTCTGGGATGCTCTCACATGCCGCCCTGGAAGCAGGGACTCTGCATGCCTTCTGAAGGCTGCTTTTTGTTTTTTTGGGTCTGGTCGTGGGGCCTGAAGTCTGGGCCTGGGCGCTGTCCCTCATCTCTTCAGCTCAAGGCTAGCACTCCACCACTTGAGCCACAGCTTTTTTCCTTTTATCTTGTGTGGTGCTGAGGAATTGAACCCAGGGCCTCATGCATGCAAGGCAAGCGCTCTACCACTGAGCCACCTTCCCAGCCCCATCTGAAGGCTGCTTTCTTTCTGATCAGCAATAACCTGGACATGTCCAGGTCCAAGGAATTGGGGCACAGACTTTGCCGGCCCCCACCCCTTTGTCCCTTCATCTCTGTGGCTCTAAGGCTTTGAACCATAGCAGACAAACTCAGCTCTACTCAACTGGAGCCCTGGTGGGCTGGACAGGGCCAAGAGGAAAGTCGGTGTTGAACAGTGGCCTTCTGTCCCCAGAGATGGCTTCTGGGAGCAGGGTCAGCATGAAGGCGTGCCAGGGCCACTCTGGCAGAAACTCTCTGTGTGACTATGAGGACTCACTTGGTGGGGAAACACCACCGAGGCTCAGAGCCTGCCCGGCTCGCTGTGGAGAGCTAGGGGAGCAGGCAGGGAGTCCCGAGAATCCAAGGCTTTTGGGTTCATATGCTCTTCTGACACTGGCTCCCCACTCTGCTGGTTCCTAAAACTGCAGGGCTCTTCCAGCCACAGAAGAGCCTTCAAGTAGGAATGTGAACTAGCTTGGTCCAGGAGAAAGGCTGAATTTGTGTGTGTGTGAACTTTTGTGGCACAGGATTTGAGCTCTCAAGGCCTAGCACTACCACTATAGCCATATGCCCAGCCCTTTTGTACTTTCAGGTTATTTTCAGACAGGATCTTGTTTCTGGGAGTGGCCTGAGCACAATCCTCCCACCTCAGCTACTTACATGGCCAGGGTGACAGGTACACAGTACCACACCCAACTCAGAGGAGGGCCTTGGAGCCCTGTGTGTGTGACTCAGGTCCCAGGGCTGACTTGGCCCTCCTTCATCTCTATTACACAAATGGGAAGGGTTAGGAGTCACTGTGTCTGGCAGGCTGAATTTTTTTTAGCACGTCATGGTATGAACCTGGTAAACACATATCTCAGGGACAGTGCTTTAGAGGCTAATGTTGGAATCACTATAGCTTTGTTTTGTTTTTGTGCTGGTTCTGGGGCTTGACCTAAGAGCCTAGACTCAAAGCTGGTGCTCTACCACTTGAACCAAAGCTCCAGTTCCTGCTTTTTAGTGGTTAATTGGAGATCAGAATCTCATAGATTTTTTTCCTTCCTGGATTGAACTGTGACCTTCAGATCTTTCTTAGCCTCCTGAATAGGATTCCAGGTGTGAGCCACCAGTGCCTGGCTAGAATCACCATTTTTTAATTTTCTTTTTTTTTGGGTGTGTGTGTGGGGGTCCGGTTGTGGGGCCTGAACTCTGGGCCTGGGCACTGTCCCTCAGCTCTTCAACTCAAGGCGAGCGCTCTAGCACTTAAGTCACAGCACCACTTCCGGCTTTTTTCTTTTTGCTTATGTGGTCCTGAGGAATCAAACCCAGGGCCTCCTGCATGCAAGGCAAGCGCTCTACCACTGAGCCACCTTCCCAGCCCCTAATTTTATTTTTAAAAATCAGTTGTGGGGCTTGAGCTCTGGGCCTGGATGCTGTCCTCAGCTCTTCAGTTTAAGGTGAGCATTGTACCTCTTGAGCCACAATGCCACAGCTGGTTTTCCAGTGGTTAATTGGAGATAAGAGTCTCACTGACTTTCCTGCTCAGGCTGGCTTTGAACTGCAATCCTCACATCTGACTCCTGAGTAGCTAGAATTACAGGTGTGAGACACCAGGGCCTGGATTAGAATCACCATTTTTTTGTGGGTCATGGGGCTTGAATTCTGGGCCTGGCGCTGTCCCTCAGCTCTTCGGCTGAAGGCGAACCCTCCACCTCTTGAGCCACAGCACCACTTCTGTTTTTTTTTTCTGGTGGTTTATTGGAGATCAGAGTCTCATGGACTTTCCTGCCTGGGCTGGCTTTACCCGTGATCCTCAGATCTCAACCTCCTGAATAGTAGGTTTACAGGCGTGAGCCACCGGTGCCTGGCTTTAGAATCACCATTTTTAAGACATCCAAAACTTACTGGGCAAGGCCAAGCCTCTTCCTCCAGGCCCTCATGGAGCCTGCACCTCCTCTCCACGCCCAGAGGAGCCTCTGGATTTGAGAGCAAGGGAATGGACCGGGTCATAAGACTATTTCCCAAAACACGAAAAAGCCTCTGAAATATCAGCGGCCATCTGGCAGCTCTCCTAGTCAATGGTGGAGGAAGGTATTTTTCCAGGGCTGTTCCAGGTCATATCCAAACATGCGAGGCGAGCCCTGGAAGCCAGCTTGCACGGAGCTGCATCACAGGAAGGAAGCAGACAAAAGACGACCAGGACTTTGCATGCGGAAGCTCAAATCAGCAAGCTGGACATTTCACTGCAGGACACAGGCTGCTCTGGCGTCCTCTGAGCACCTCAGGCCAGGGCTGCAGGAGAAGAGGCGCTGGCTCCATCGCTAAGTGGACACAACGTCCTCCCAGGACCATTTCTACTCAAAGACAGACCACGCGTCCTCAGGGTTACAACGCGCCGGTGTCACGTGCTGGCTGAGGAGGTGAGGGTGACTCTCCGGTCACTGCAGAGGCCCCTGCCCCACACGAGGGAGCCGTGGCGCCGGTCTGACAGGTGGAGCGTGCCGTCTGGGTGATCAGGAGGGCCTTGGAGCCCTGTGTGTGTGACTCAGGTCCCAGGGCTGAGTTGACTGACGGGGTGGGGGACTTTATTTACAACTCCATCGACAGACACACATGTATGTACACACACTGACGCGCAAGCCATGAAAGAGCACCGGGCGGGCGAGGACCCGGGGCCACGGGCCACCGACACTCCTCAGGTCTCCATGTAGTTCAATGCCAAGGGCACGGTGACACGCCTATTCCCCGAGTCTCTGCTTGGGAGTTCATGTCCAAGGGCACAGCCACTCCACCTGTTAATTACTTGTCCAGCAAGTTTCTTTGCCTTCCCAGGGCCTTCCCCAGCCTCGGGGAGTCCTGGCCTGGGACGCGGTGCAGGGAGGACCCGGGTCACACAGTGACCTTCTCAATCACACTCTCCTCCACGTGGACTTCGTCCGCCTGGACCGTGACTGAAGTGGACTGGCCACATATGTGCTGGTGGTCTTTCCAGTCCTGAAAGCAAACAGACCCATGTGAAGAGGAGGGCCACGGAGGAAGCTGCCTCTTCAGTACACAGCAAGACACAGGTGGGGGTGAGCAGGGCCCCCGCCCTCCGGAGGCTGGGCCTGTGAAGGAAGCCTCCCCACGCCGAGTCCCAGACCCAGGATCCAGGATCCGACTTCCCCTCCCGGCAGGTCTCAGTTCAGATGGAGCTTGGGCCCACAGCCTTTGCACGCCACGCAGGCTCTCATCCACTAAGCTGGAGCCCTTATCCTTCAACCAGTTTTTTCTGCTGTTGGGAAGTTAAACAAAGAAATTAAGCTGGGTGGATGTGGTGGCACATAGCTGCCCTTCCTGCAACAGGAAGCCCAAAGTGGAAGGGCAGAGGTCAGGGATGGGCCTGGGTCAGAAGAGAGATCATATCTCAAAAGTGACAGACGAGCTGGGCACCAGTGGCCATGCCTATAACCCTAGCTGCTCAGGAGATCTGAAGACTGAGATTTGAAGTCAGCCCAGGCAGACAAATTTGTATGAGACACATCTCTAGTTAATAAGCAAAAAGGCAGAACTGAAAGTCTTACTCAAATGTGGAGTGCTCGTCATGAGCAAAAAGTGGAGTGAGAGTGTAAGGCTCAGAGTTCAAATCCCAATACTGGGGGGAAAACAACAACCAAAAACTAGGCAAGCAGAAACCACACCTGTATGTGACGGTGTGATCTGCTCCTTGTGACGGCGTGATGGTGTGATCTGCTCCTTGTGACAGTGTGACTGTGTGTGATCTGCTCCTTGTGACGGTGTGACTGTGTGTGATTTGCTCCTTGTGATGGTGTGACTGGTGTGATCTGCTCCTTGTGATGGTGTGACTGGTGTGATCTGCTGCTTGTGACAGTGTGACTGGTGTGATCTGCTCCTTGTGATGGTGTGACTGTGTGTGATCTGCTCCTTGTGACGGTGTGACTGTGTGTGATCTGCTCCTTGTAACGGTGTAACTGTGTGTGATCTGCTCCTTGTGACGGTGTGACTGTGTGTGATTTGCTCCTTGTGACGGTGTGACTGTGTGATTTGCTCCTTGTGACGGTGTGATCTGCTCCTTGTAACGGTGTAACTGTGTGTGATTTGCTCCTTGGAAGGGCAGAAATGGGCACACCAAGGAAACAGGTCATCTCCTAGAAAGTCACCTTCTACTGACCTCTTTTTCCAAATTTCCTATAATAAACCTTTTCTTTTTTATTGTGAAAATACCGTACAGAGGGATTACAATTACAAGAGCAAGGTAATGAGTACATTTCTTATCAAACATTGTTGCCTCCTCCTTTGTTTCCCCTTACCATTCCTTCCCATCTCCCCCCCCCCATAAACCTATCATTTCTATTTCCTTGTTTTCTTAAGGAAAAAACAAAAAGGAAAAAAAAACCTGAAAAGAGACAGAACCCATACAATCTAATTGTGCATGCAGGGCTGGGAGGGTGGGTGGCTCAGTGGTACAGGGCTTGCCTGGCATGCATGAAGCCCTGGGTTCAATTCCTCAGTACCACATAAGCAGAAAAAGCTGGAAGTGGCACTGTGGCTCAAGTGGTAGAGTGCTAGCCTTGAGCAAAAGCAGCTCAGGAACAGTACCCAGGTCCTGAGTTCAAGCTCCAGGACTGACCAAATAAATCAATAAAAATCCCATTAAAAATTAGTCCATAGCCGGGCACTGGTAGCTCATGCCTGTAATCCTAGCTACTCAGGAAGCTGAGATCTCAGGACTGTGGTTCAAAGTCATCCGGGCAACAAAAACTGCGAGACTCTTATCTCCAATTAACTGGAAATGCAGCTGGGGCTACACTATAGCCTTGAGGGAGAAAGCTCGGGGATGGTGCCCAGGCCTGAGTACTCGCTCCACGATAAGCCAAAAATAAAATGCTGGCCCAAAGGAGGAGGGAATCAAGAGGCCTGATTCAGGAGGGGCAGCCCAGAGGGCCGCACTTGTGTGGAATTTCAAACTGTCCATGGAGAGGGGAAAGAAAGGCTTGGCCCCAGGCTGGAGGGAGCACATGGAGGGAGGGGGCTTGGGGCACTCTGACCACCACTTGAGTGTCTGCCCAGCTGCTCAAGAACATGAAGGCACTGGCTACAGGCTTCCTGGCCAGCCACTTCAGACACACACAGCAGGGCCTGCAGGGCCCTGTGCTACAGCACTGGCAGTAATTCACAGGCTTTCTCTCCTCAATGCACCAAGCCCAGTATAATGAAAACTGTTAACAATTGCATCTTAAAAGATGTTACCTGAGCCGGGCGCCAGTGGCTCACGCCTGTCATCCTAGCTATTCAGGAGGCTGAGATCTGAGGATCATGATTTGAAAAGTCTGCAAGACTCCATCTCTAAGTAACAAGCAAAATGCCAGACCAGAGGTGTGGCTTAATTGGTAGATCACTAGCTGTGAGCAAGTAAGCCTAATCAAAGTACAAGATCCAGAGTTCAAGCCCTGATACTGGCATTAAAGAGCAAAATGAAGCCAGATGCTGGTGGCTCATTTCTGTAGTCCTAGCTACTCAGGAGGCTGAGATCTAAGGATTGTGGTTGCAAGTCAGCCTGTGTAGGAAAGTCCATGAGACTCTTATCTCCAATTAACCACCAGAAAACCAGAAGTGGGGCTGTGACTCAAAGTGGTAGAGGAGTATTGAGCAATAAAGCTCAAGGACAGCATCCAGGCCCTGAGTTAAAAACCCACGAACACCACGACCACCACCAACAAAAAAAAACAGAAAAAGTAAAATGTTAAGCAGGAGTGGTAGCACACACCCAGCACTCTGGAGGTAAAGGCCAGAGTCATAATTAACACCAGCTTAGGACACTTAGTGAGAGGAGTCAGGCACAGTCTGGTGGTGCTGCTGTGGTAAGCTGAAGCAATACGCACACTCCAACAAATGACACGTCCACAGCACAGCCACGACAGCGCTGTCCACAACAGCCAGCAGAAAACACCCAGATGTCCACGACGACAGACAGACAAGCCCCGTCCATCCACAAAGCAGTGCTATGTGGCTGAGCCCTCCATCGCCTGGGGGGGGGTGGCTGAGCCCTCCATCGCCTGGGGGGGTGGGGGGGGCGGCTGAGCCCTCCATCGCCTGGGGGGGTGGCTGAGCCCTCCATCGCCTGGGGGGGGCTGAGCCCTCCATCGCCTGGGGGGGGCTGAGCCCTCCCATCGCCTGGGGGGGGCGGCTGAGCCCTCCATCGCCTGGGGGGGTGGCTGAGCCCTCCCATCGCCTGGGGGGAGTGGCTGAGCCCCCCATCGCCTGGGGGGGGTGGCTGAGCCCCCCATCGCCTGGGGGGGGTGGCTGAGCCCCCCATCGCCTGGGGGGGGTGGCTGAGCCCCCCATCGCCTGGGGGGGGGGGGGGGTGGCTGCTCCATCGCCTGGGGGGGGGTGGCTGAGCCCTCCATCGCCTGGGGGGGGTGGCTGAGCCCTCCCATTGCGGGGGTGGGGGGTGGCTGAGCCCTCCATCGCCTGGGGGTGGCCACCGGTGCCTGGTTTCTGTTTTGCTGTTGTTGGGGCTTGAACTCAGGGCCTGGGTGCTGTCCCTGAACTTTTTCACTCAAGGTGAGTGCTCTACCACTTTGAGTCACATTCCCTCTTCTGACTTTCTAGTCGTTTATTGGAGATAAGAGTCTTATGGACTTTCCTGCCCAGGCTGTCTTTGAAGCATGATCTTCAGATCTCAGCCTCCTGAGTAGCTAGGATTACAGGCATGAGCTACCAGCACCTAGCAAAATGTGTAATCTTATGGTATGTCAATTTGACACACACACACACACACACACACACAGAGTTCAAATGGGGTTTGAAGAAAATAAGCCTGGTGCAAGATAAAATCGAAAATCATGACAGTCCTCGGTCCTGGGAGAAGGCCGCCCCTCCCTTTCCAGGTGTTCCACCCTCAGCAGCTACGGCTTACTGCAGCCGGATGCCACCGCCTGGAAATGTGGCCTCGTACGTACTCAGGCGTAGCTGTGGCCTCAGCCGGCCTACAAGCTTTCCTGGAGAAGCTCAGGGACCACTTCTGGCTCTGCTTCCAGAATCTTTTGAGCCTGGAGAGGTGGGGCTGTGGACGAAGGGGCTCGTCCTTGCTCTGCTGGAGAGGAGGACCTGGGACCCGAACCCTGGAGCCTCAGCTTCCGTGCCGACTGAGGACCCTGGCAGGAAGGCGGTGTCACAGGGGGGTGAGGACCAGGTCCCTCCCGTGAGGCCCCCGAGGTGTGCTGGGCACACATTCACCCTGACCACCCTCCATGTGGTCTTCCCGTCTGTGTACCCGTCGGGACAGAGGTGGGCAGCCCGCAGCCCTGCTTAGCTGTGCCCCTGTCCCTGGAGCCAGACGGTGTCTTCACCAGTCACCCAGACCTAAAGCAGAGAACAATGCCCCGTCCCACGCGACCACCCCGCAGCACCCCATCCACAGCTCTGCTGGGCAGAGCGCAGGTCAGTTCCCATTCACCTTCCAGGTTACGGAGCCTAGAGCCCCGAGACATCTGCACCTCTGCCCAGGGCCGGGCTAGTGCTGGCCAGAGGAGCCGCTGCCAAGCCCGGAGGCCAGCGCCACTGCACCTCCCTCCAGCTCAGGAAGCCATGTTCAAACCAGACGAAAAGGAACATGCCATCTTCAAAGCAGGGCTTTGTTAGGGGAGCATCCACGAAGAGCAGGGGCGTGCTGTGATCGTGCAGTAAGCAGACAGACAGACTGCAAGCTTCCAAGCTCCAGGAGTGTCCACTTGGCCAGCAATGCCCTCAACACTGCTAAAATGCAGCACAGCAAGATCGCCTGCTCTCCATCTGACAGGCCACACAGTCTGTGTCATGGCACCGGCAGCAGGCGGCGGCGGCAGGGGATGCTGTGGGAGGGACAGAGCGGCCTACAGGCCGAGGCCTGAGGAAGCTGCCCCAGGACACTTCCTAGCAGAGCAGGGCTGGCCTGTCCTATCAGCTAGCCTCAGAGAGACTGCCACCCGCCCCAAAGCCCTGAGGACCGGCGGGGGAAGTTCAGGGATGTGACATCCCTACCACACCGCTCTTTAGTTTCCTTAAAACCCACAGCCAGAGGAGGACAACAGAAGCGGCGGCATCCATCACACAGCCGCTACAGGGCCCGTCAGGCTCGGAGCGGAGCCGCCAACATCAGGGTCTCGCCCAGGAGTGACCCTGCACCGCAAGGGCACGACTTCTGACCTCGGCAGAGCCAGTGGCAGCCCAAGAGGCCAGGGCCTTCAGCAGAGAGCCGGGCCTTTCCTCCCCTCCCTGCCAGTTCCGAGGCGGCGGGCGGGCCTTCCCACGGTCCCGAGGAGGCGGGCGGGCCTTCCCTCCCCTCCCTGCCGGTCCCAAGGAGGCGGGCCTTCCCACGGTCCCGAGGAGGCGGGTGGGCCTTCCCTCCCCTCCCTGCCAGTTCCGGACAGGCCTTACCTTGCGCTGGCAGAAGGTGGAGCAGTAGTTGACCTTGTGGCACCCGGTGCACTCACTCATGGCTCCCCGGCCACAGTTCACACAGGACTGCTGCAAGGACAGAGAGGCGTCAGCGCCTGGACGCTGGACGCCGCCGCGGCCCCCGCGTCGTCGCTCCCCTGGAAGGTCACCTCGTGACCACCGGGGGCCATGGCAGGCACACCTGAGCTGGGGTGCGGCAGGACACCCCGAGTTCCCGGCGCCCCCCACCGCTTCCCTGGGCCTCTTCACACAGCCTGACAGGACAGGGCTCTCTTCAGCAGCATGCGGGGGTTTTCTGTTCATACTGCAGCTTGTCCATGACTAACTGTTGCAAAACAACAGACGGTGGCCTTTGACAATGGGAAATGTTAACCAACATTTCCCAATGTGGAGAGAACCACTAGCTAAGACCCAGTGCAAGCCAGGGTCGCGTGGACTGCAGGAAGGGCCAGTGCGGTGGGCAGGGGCAGTAGCCTGCTGTGATTGGCACACAGGTAAACCACTTTCACAACGCCAATTAAACCAACTCTATAGCTTTCTTTCATATTCACAGTACACAGCCACTACTTATCAGGTACTGATTTTCACACATGGAAGGGCGTCATTCCCAGTGAAGGTTGCATTGGCGTGAAAGCCGGGCGCCGGTGGTTCACGCCTGTGATCCTAGCTACTCACGAAGCTGAGCTGAGATCTAAGGATCTCGGTTCAAAGCCAGCCTGGGCAGAAAAGTCCACGTGAGACTTTTATCTCCAATTAACCACTCAAAAACCAGCAGTGGCGCTGTGGCTCAAATGGTAGAATGCCAGCCTTGAGTATAGAGACTCAGGGACAGCACCTAGGCCCCACAACTGACAAAAAAGTGTGAACTTCAGGTAGACACTGATGGTTCACACCTGTAAAATATGTTTAAAAAAAATCTGTAAACTAGTAGGGAACTTTCTCCCAGAGGAGAAAGGTCTCAGACTCCGTTCACACCCTCACAGGGGCAGGTAACCTACCACACAGCTCCGTCACAGCTGGACCCAGCCCAGGTCGGCTCACATGCCAGGGCAGGGTCCAGCCCCTCAGGGCTGAAGACCATGGCTGGCCTTGGAATGAGGCTACACTTTATGTGGAGGTCAGGCCCCGGGGAGGGGGGGGTGGGGGTGGACTTTGGGGTCTGGCCCTGGGGAGGGGGCTGGCTTTGGGGCGGGGCAGGAAACACGTGTGGATGGGAGACTCAGAGGGGCTCAGGAACAGGACACCAGCTCACAACCCACGGTCTCAGCTTGGTAAGGTATCTGCTAGAAACGAGTGACAGCTGTAATGGGGGGGGTGCTGGGGAGGAACTGCTTATCAGAACCCTAAATCACTGCTAGCTCCCTGTCTGGGAGGGCCCACAGAGCGAGAGCCGCCTGTTCCAGAGAAGACGCTGGCTGACATCACACCCTGACCCAGCGGAGGAGGTCCCGGGCCACCCGTGATGCCACCAAGGCCAGGGAAATGCGAGGAGCCGCAGTGAGCCGGGGCGGCCTCCTGGCCTCCACACGAAGCCCTGCGTCCACACACAGTGGCACCCAGCAATACCTGCGGGTGCCGAGAGCCCTGGGCCGTGAGGAACGGGCAGATGGAGCGTGTCGGCTCCCGGTGCATGCTGGGGAGATGCTGGTGTCACCTCACACCAGGCTGTGCACGCCCTGCGACCTCTGCCACTTGCGTGGGACCCTGAAGCCCTAAGGAAAGACTTTAAAGCAAACTTTCACTATCACAACGCAGGTGCGCATCCTGGATACGTGCCATGTTCCCGGGTGACCCGCACCCCGCAGGCCCTGTCTGAACTTTCTAGAAGCCTACAGAATCTCACGGGCCAGTCAGTGGCTGTCGGTCATAACGACTCTTGGAGGCCACGCGGCCCGAGCGCTGAGCAGTTCAGAAGCGGCCTGCTGCACAGGGGAGCGGCAGACGCCACTGCCCACCTGCACAGCACCTGCGGCAGCTCCAACGCCAATCCAGCGTGGGAGAAGCACGGAGCACGCGCGCGCGCCGGGCTCCACATACCCCTCTGGGCACTGCTGGTTTGGAAACCAGACAAATTCAACATTATGGGCAATGGAGCAAACTTCCCAAAAGGAGCCAACCAAGAACGGAATGAAGAACTCCAAACGCCTAGTGAGCCTGAGCTGCCACACAGGGGCTCAGGGCCTTGGCTCTGACAACCAGCTATGGCGCCCCGTTGCTCTTGGCCCCTGGACGTCGACTTTATGTCGCTTGATCAAGGGGCTCGGAGGAGCAGTCTGCCTGGGGAGTGCGCTCTCCCCCCCCCTTTTTCCAGAACAGCCACACGACAGCCTATTTCTGCTTCTGGCCCAGGTCCTGTTCAGAACCGCTCAGGTGCCTGGACTCATGCAACTCCGGGCTTTGCCTCTCCCTGAGCGACGCGCCAGGAATGAGGGGTGGAGACCTTCAGGAGGCAAGCAACCCCAGACGCCACAGACAGCACCCCTTACCAAATCCACCTTGAGCATGTGGAGGGCTCAGCTTCTGTCTGCATAGCCTTGCTGGGAGCAGCCGAAGGCCAAGCTGGGAGGTGGCAGCCACAGCCGCAGCCTGGGCTTAGCCTAGACCAGCTTCTGCACCTCTCTAGCTGCGAAGCGGAGGTCATAAACCCAAGTTCAAGTCTCCTGGTCTCTCAAAAGTACATAGGGGCCAGATGTGGTAGCGGTTGCCTGTAAACCTGGCTACTTAGGAGACAGCGATGGGAAGGACTGTGGTTTGAGGCATAATCGGTTATGGCGGCACAAGCCTATCATCCCATGTGTGGTAGGAGCAGGACTGAAGTCCAGAACAGCCGAGGCAAGAGCACTAGACCCTATTAAAAAAACAAGGCAAAAAACCCAACCCACAACGGGAGGCATGGCACCTGCCTAGCGAGCATGAGGCCTTGAATTTAAACCTCAATACTGTCTTCCCCGTCTCCCCTACACACCCCAAAAACACTCATAGAAAATTCTATCATGGTGGCCACACCTGTGACTCCAGCACTCAGGAGGCTGAAGTATGAAGACTGTGAGTTCCAGGCCACTCTGGGCTACATAAGACTAAGAAATCCCAAGGGGCTGGGAAGGTGGCTGAGTGGTAGAGCGCTGGCCTCGCATGCTTGAGGCCCTGGGTTCGATTCCTCAGCACCACATAAGCAGAAAAAGGCAGAAGTGGCACTGTGGCTCAAGTGGTAGAGTGCTAGCCTTAAGCTGAAGAGCTGAGGGACAGCGCCCAGACCCAGAGTTCAGGCCCCACAACCAACAACAAAAAAAAAAAAAAAAAAAGAGAGAGAGAGAAAGAAAGAAAAAAGAAAAGAAAGCCAAGGAAGAAGAATGTAGCTCAAGTTGTGAGCAAAAGCAGCTCAGGGACAGAGCCCAGGCCCTGAGCTCAAACCCCAGGACTGGAAAAAAAAAAAAAAAAGCGAAAAGAAAACCCAACATGCCAGGTATGTGTGCACACCTGGGCACACCTGTGTGCATGTGTGAGCTAAGCCCACTTCACCGAGGGGAAGGGCATGTGAAGTGGACCAGGAACACACGCAGGGCCCAGAGGACCCAGCCCCATGGAGCACAGCCAGAGCCACAGCTGCGCCCCCTGGGCACTGACCACGCACCCGGGCCTCACCAGGCTGTCTGCCGAGCAACCTCCAGTGCTGGACAGACGGGGCCAGGGGAAGGCCAGCTTTCAAGGTCGTAGTCCCCTGACCCCAGGAGGTCGCGGTCCCCTGACCCCCAGGAGGTCATGGTCCCCTGACCCCCAGAAGGTCGCAGTCCCAGGCCCATAGGAGGTCACGGTCCCCTGACCCCAGGAGGTCGCGGTCCCAGGCCCCCAGGAGGTCGCGGTCCCCTGACCCCAGGAGGTCGCGGTCCCCTGGCCCCCCAGGTCTGTGCTGCCAGTGACCCTCACCATCCACATCTGTTTGCTGGGGGATGCAACTCAGGGGGCCGGCTGCTCACAGCAGCACACATGCTGCAGGAGGCAGCGTCCCCGGGGAACACACAGGGGGCTCCCCATCTTTACCAGCCTTGCATCCTGGCCCTGCT